ACTGAGGTGCTCTAGTTGAAGAAGCTACTTGAAGCTATGATCTTCTGCGCGGAAATTCTGTGGCTCCACTATTCCGGCTTTCAGGCGTCATGTCGCATGTTTGTATGTTATTGTAACGGCCGTCTCTTCTGGTTCCAGTATTCTAGCTTTCAGGAATTAGGAAGGGGTACGTAGACACAGACAGCAAGGCGATTTCATGAGCCTCTTTTTATTTTTTTTTTCAAAATAATTAAAATATGCTAATAATGGAAGAATGTCTCTACTTGTATTGTCAGTCAGGTGGGGTGGGGACATTCCTATCACTCTGCGGGTAACAGTGTCGAGTTTAACACAGACAGACATGTATGTAACCAGTGAGCAGATACCTGCGTTTTCTTTGTATGTGATAAAAATATCTACATTGATTTGTCCCCTGAAACCGCCTACGGATAATCTGGTGGGCCGCCACGGACCATAGTTTGAGAAACACTAGTTAGTTTATATGAATTGTATTTTTATCTATCTATGGGTCTACAGGCTTTGTTGAACCTTAGCCGGTATGAATCCTGTTAGTCGATATAATTTATAGTGAATATGTTTTAGTAACTCACACCTGAAATTACAAAATATATAATTTCGATTTGTATAAAGACAGTTATTATGTTTTTGGACATTATCCGTCGTCCTGTCTTACTTACTTACTCATGGAGCTGAGCCCTTCTTGAGGAGCCGCCAATTCTGCAGCTACTCAAGAATTCCCCAGCGTTTATGGAACCCGAATGTTCATCACCGTGTTCACAAGAGCCCTCCACTAGTCCCTATCCTGAGCCACATCTGTGCAATCCATACCATCACATCCTATCTCTCTAAGGTCCATATTAATATTGTCCACCCACCTACGCCTTAGTCTTCCCTGTGGTCTCTTTCCTTCTGGCTTTCCCACCAATATCCTATATGCAGTCCTCGTCTCCCCCATTCGTGCTACATGACCTGCTCACCTCATCCTCCTTGACTTGATCATTCTAATTATACTTGGAGAAGAGTACAAGTTATGAAGCTCCTCATTATGCAGTTTTCTCCAACCTCCTGTGATTTCATCTCTCTTCGGTCCAATGATTCTATTTTTTTTTATCCGTCCTGTTTCCTTTTCAAAACACAACGTTTCGGAGACTGGATTCTGTCCCCGTCCTCAGGTAAAACCTACTCAGTTGGGTCCAATAGACAGAGCTAGCCCCTACTTCCGGAAGTGGGGACTAGCTCTGTCTATTGGACCCAACTGAGTAGGTTCGCCTGAAGACGGAGACATAATCCAGTCTCCGAAACGTTGTGTTTTGAAAATGAAACATGACTTTTTTTAAATAATTATACAAGTCGATGGATAATGCCCAAAAAGCTAATGCTTGTAGCAATATACCATCGACACAAACTTTTACATCTTATTTATATTAAGATACGTTTTTCTGGAAGACACATGCAGAAAAGACTGGCTTCCTGCCTGACTTGAAGAGGGTTACAGCCTGGACAATCTCCCGAACAAGAGACTTAAGAAGTCACTGTATAAAGAACTCCGATATTTTGCAGTCCTCTCCACGGTTGAGAGGAAGTTAAGTGGTGTATTCAGAGAGACTTTATGTGCTTGTAGTTGAACGCGAGGTTTTCATCCTGCGGCGGATGATATGGGAGACTCTCGTGTTGACACGCTGGATTTTGGTGCTTTGCCTTTCCTGCCTTCTTCATCAACCTACCCTCACATTTAGGGTCCTCTGATTGGCGATATATTCTCTGATGAATGGCTGAATTCCTTTCGGCACAGCTTACTGGTTTGGTGGGTTTCTATCTACATTGACCTTGTTACCTTTATAGAAATTAAGGACACTACTTCGAGGAGAATTAGTGACGTTATGAAGAATAAAATGTAACTTCACTGCAATTTGCCTACTTCTAAACAAAAGTAGGCTTATAGCCTTTATGTTAATGCTTGTGTTTTTCCTAATAACTTATAAACAAGTCATATCATTGGATAATTAAATACAGTGGATAACAGAGTGTCAGTATGGCGGCCAAGCGAATGTAAGTGAAGGCGACACTGGCGCTGATTAATATAAAAAAACCTCCGTGGTTTTAGTCAGCGAACTATACCGACCGAGAGACCACCGCTTGTCGGCTAAGTTAGTGCCAACTTTAGCGGATAGAGGGTGTCGCGTTGTCAGCGCAACGGGTCCCCACGACCGTTAATCTCGGTTTTCTAGATCGGAGCCGCTGTTTCCTTGAAATAGCCCCTCAATTATCTTCACGAGGCTGAGTGGACCCCGTTCCAGACTCACTACTTCTCGGAAAATCTTATAGCGCCTGGAATCTAACCCGACCTCTGGATCTGTAGCCAGGAACTATGACCACTAGACAACAGAGGTTGATTAATATCGAATTTTTGAAACCATGTTATTGTTAATTTTATTTGAACGGAGAATAATGTCATGTAAATACATGAAATATTTACACACTTTCCTGTTTCATACAAAAACGACCCATGGTTCCTATGAATGTGAAATTAAACGTTTGAATGAATCACGAATCGCTGACGTAAAATAGTTTTTGAGGTCTGTTTCTCACCCCGGTCCTTGGCATATTACTTGCAGCATCACGCTACCTGAGCTGACGTTCTGGAAAGATTACACTCGGACCGCGTCTCCGATAAATTACGCTTCCTGTCTACAACATGGACGACAGATATGAAAATGTTACGTTCCTTTCCGGGAAAAAAGTCTCAGATTGAACATGAGACTGGCTAGTCATAGAGCTGACACAGAAATCGTTCTGAATGAGAAGATATCCGAGCTTCTCTAGCTGAAATCGAATCTAACCTTCTTAGTCCTACCCACACTCGCCCCATAGTAAGCCAAATAAGAAATCTCCTTAAGTATTTCTCGTCTCATTTTTATGTCAAAATTTATACTGAGTTTTGAATTTTCTTAAAAATCAGGAAGACTTGGTAGTTAATTGTTTTCTTGCTGGAATTTACTTTCACTCATGCTCCTGTACTTAACAGTATTAATTCTGACACTTACTTACTTACTTATGGAGTTGAGTCCTTCTTAAGGAGAGCTACTCAAGAATTTCCCAGCATTTTATGGAACTCGAAGGTTCATTGCCGTGTTCACAAGAGTCCTCCACTGGTCCCTATCCTGAGCCAAATCAATCCAATTCCATCCCATCCTATCTCTATAAGATCCATTTTAATATTGTCCACTCACCTACGCCTTGATCTTCCCAGTGGTCTCTTTCCTTCTGGCTTTCCCACCAATTTCCTATACGCATTTTAATTATGACACTTAGCTGAACTAATTCACAGACTCTTTATGTAGATTAAGTTGTGTGTGCATCGGGCATCGAGTGACAATCTTCTGCATGAACCTTATTGGGCTTCCCTTCATGAAATATCCGTCTTCAGCACAGAATGTCATGATCCAGTGACTGTCATTTCTTCATGTCACAGATATTTTTTTTTCCTTGGCACTATAGCCCCAGTGGGCCTAGGCCTACCTCCATGAACTTCATTCACTTCGGTTTTTCTAGATCTTACACATGCGGTAGGACTCCTTGGGCGGGTGATCAGCTCGTCGCAAGGCCTCTACCTGTACACAAACACAGAAAACGCACACAAACATCCATGCCTTGAGTGGGATTCGAACTCACGATCCCGGCTTCCGAGCGAGCGAAGACAGTGCATGCCTTAGACCGCTCGGCTACCGTGACCGGCAGTGTATAAGAATAATATATAAGAATTCAGTTCGTACCTCACAGGAAACAGATCCGAACCCACGATCCCGGTTTCCGAGCGAGCGAAGACAGTGCATGCCTTAGACCGCTCGGCTACCGTGACCGGCAGTGTATAAGAATAATATATAAGAATTCAGTTCGTACCTCACAGGAAACAGATCCGAACCCACGATCCCGGTTTCCGAGCGAGCGAAGACAGTGCATGCCTTAGACCGCTCGGCTACCGTGACCGGCATGTCACAGATATACCCGTTCAAATCTTCACCGATATATCCTATAATATGACTTACCCTTTTCTTAGTTTTCACCAAAATTTGCGCCATTTTTCGATTCGAGTTTTCATCAACATCCTGTCATTTCACACTCCCCGGTACATAGCCCGTGCTCTATGTCCAACGGCATGAAATAAACCAAGGAACAGGCTATACTAATCTTTAAGAGAACTATCATCTGTGATATAACGTCATATAATCCGTTGAAAATCAACCGATGTTTCGGAGGAACATATCGCCTCGGATTTCCACCTGCTTTCACACTGGTATCTTTCTTGGCTTATTCAACCCTGAGGATGGAGGCGCTATCTTATTCTGAAAGCACACGGCGTTATATCTCAGAATACAGTGCTCTTCATAACCACCGCTGCGAGAACCTCAGATCCTATCCCGTGTGGGCGTGGGTTCGAATACCTCTACCGTAGCCCTGCGAGTCATAAGAGGCGACGAAAAGGGAACCGATCGCCTGGGGGTATAACTGGGCCACGCTGTTCCTGGGGGATATAAATACGGGGACCTAGCCCTCCAGGTTGGGGGAGTCTCGAATCTGAGACAGTAAAATGCGGTCATGAGTCTCGCGGGACTCGGGACTCGAGAATGACTGCACTGGCGAGGTTCAGCGCCAATTCAGGATGAGGATGTTACATAAGGACTATAATCGCAAATGTTCAGTTTGAAAATAAAGTTACTGGTCGTGATCCTTAAGTGGTTGTCGCAGCGGTAGGCTCGGACAAGAGAATGACTACACTGGCGAGGACCAGCAACAATTATAAACGACAGACCTATCCTCTCGTCAGAGAGGATGTTACATAAGGACTATAACCGTAAATGTTCAGTTACTGAAGGGGTTTGTCGCCAAGACGAACTGATTGGCGGTAAGCCTTAAATCGTAAAGTAACAGTGACTCCGACACAAATGCTACACCTGTTTTGCGTTTAGCTAATTCTGAAATATGTGTGGTATGTGTTCCAGGCTTCGTCTATAGTGAAAGCTCTGAAGCACCAACAACAAAGGGATCGAGACAGGGACCGTGACGTGGAGTCTGCGGGCAATGGGAAATGCAGCCCTGGCCCTGCTCAGGTCCCCGCAAGTAGCAAATCTTCCGCATCAACGCAACCTCCAGGGCCAACCACTACTTCCACGCAGCCATCCCAACCCCCATCTCAACAGCCGCAACAGCAGACAACGTCCCAAACAGCACCTCAACAGCCGTCACCTCAACAGGCTCAGCTGCCTCCCCCCACCCCTCATCAGCAACAGATAATGTTGTCTCCAGCCTCAGGACTCCATCAGATGCAACAGCTTCTTCAGCAACAAATTCTTAGTCCAGCTCAGCTGCAGTCTCTCATGCAACAACACACGTTGTTCCTTCAGCAACAACAACAGCAACATCATCACCAGCCGGTGAGTACAACACCTGAAGTGTCTGGAGAATTTGCGGCTCCTCAAGAAGGGCTCAGCTCCATGTGTAATATTATCAAATGAATGCAGTTCTCACGGGTACTAAGTGAATCGCGACTTGTTTTTGTGCACATTATTGTATTGCTCAAATAATTAGAACTTCGCAGGTTAGGGCACTCTGCTACAAGCCGGAAGGTCGCGGGTTCGATTTCAGATGAGATCATTGGATTCTTCAATTGAACTAATCCTTCTAGCCGCACTATGACACTGGGGGTCGACTCAGCCTGTAACACAAATGAGTACGAGGAATATTCCTGGGGTCAAGGGCGACCAGCGCGTAAGACTGACAACTTCACCGCCATCTATGAGCTGATTGTCTAGAAAAATGTGGGAGCCTCGACGTCTCACAATCCTATAGACCTCCATGGCCTGTTACAGGGATAACTTAGTTCTTCTTAGATTGAGGAACATGTTTTGAATGTATTTTTACCAGGATATGCTACATGGCACTCCAATTTGCATTTCCTTATTTTGATGCATCAGATTTCTTGGTCATTAGCCGCAAAGCTGATTTTAATTGAAATTCATATAACCGATTAATGTACTATTGATGGATGTGAGATTTACAAAGTAAGGAACCCCCCACTCCCAGTCTCTTAAGGAGGATATCACTGTTCAAATGACAGCAGGATATGCCCACACATTTAGGAAAGTTTGTACGTATCATATGACACAGGTACATCAGAACTTTCATGTTTAGCAAATTATAAAGATAAATTATCTGGTGTTGTTTATCACTTCGTAAAATGTATATTCCCATGTTGAATTTTATAAGCGAAGCGATTTTTGTGTTATATTAGACTCAAACATATTTTAGTATATTTTATAAAATTTGCTTATACATTTTGGGAACAACCAGAATATATCGCATCGATTATTATGCATATCAAGATAAATTAACAATAATACTTCTGATATTCCACGTTAAGTATATTCAATTTATAAACCTCTAGGTCAAGTCATTTCTATTAAATGATTTAAATATGTTTCAGACTAAAATTCCGGTATAGAAAACCGAGATTAACGGCCTTGGGTATTCGTTGCGCTGACCACGCGACACCCTCTATCCGTAAGAAGTTGGCACTAACTTCGCCGACAAGCGGCGGTCGCTCGGTCGGTATAGTTCGTTTGCGGACTACAGGCCACTGAGTTTTTGTTTTGTCAGACCAAAATTAATTGCGTCGATTGCGTTAGTTTTTATTGATATTGCCAACTTGAATTTTGTTTCATTTTTTAAACGAATACTTCACTTTCTTACACTGAAATTATGTCGACGCCATTTTGATAGGACATTTCTGTTGCACGTAATCATGCTGTAAGCAAGAAGTCATTTTGGNGCCATAGCTCAAGCGGTTAGTTGCTGGCTTCCCATCGCAGCGGCCCGTGTTTGATCCCGGGTCTGGTCAAGTGGGATTTATGGTGGACAGAGTGGCGCTGGGGCTTATTTTCTCAGAGTACTTCGGTTTCCCTTGCCAATCTTCATTCCACCAAATTTTCCATCATCATACTCACCCGAGGCAGGCTACAATAGGCCAATCAGTGGCCTCCGTGTCGAGTGGACCCAGTTGGACTCCACTCCCCATTAAGAGAATTAAAAAAAAAAGTCATTTTGATGAAACTTTTGAGACACTTCTCTGCGTTTATATGCATATGTCCACTTAAATTATTCAATGTAATGGAAATATTGTTCCATTATTTTTTTCCGAAAATAAGGAATTCGAAGCAGAAACCACAAAGGTTACTTTATTGTTACGTATTTTTAGATCGTAAGTATACCATCTCTAATGCAACAATAACCTTACGTAAAGGACACTAAAATATATTTAATACAGTTAAAGTGTTTGTAAAATACTTTAAAATATCATTAAAATTATACATTCATTCCTTGTTGCAACATGTTTCGGCCACACATGGACCATCATCAGGCATTTTTTTGTTATTGGGGAGACCACTGCACTGTACACTTTGTCTTCTGTGCCCTTAGGCATAACAAAGTAAACAACACAAAAACCCTAAACTAGCAATAGAAATAAGTATATAACAAGCACTTTTAGTGTATTAAATATATGTTTAGTGTCTTTCATATAAGGTCATTGTTGCATCACAGGCGGTGTACTTACGATCTAAAAATGATGCCACAATGCAACAGGATGTGAAATATAATATTACTGTTACGTAAATTGAGCGTTGTAGTCACACACAGACACACAGACACACCCCCAGACAGTATCGTGATCTCATTAGCTTACTTTTTCCCCTGGAAAGAAAATGGGCGAAAACATAGCTTGCAGTGAATATCTTACACACTAACAATGAAATTAAGATACAGAATGCTCACGTATTTGTCATATGTAACATTGAAGTAATGCAAATGTTTCTGTAACAGTTGTTAGTTAGTTAGTTATTTAGAGAGGGTGGGTTTCCCCATGCACCGCGACCAGTTTGATCTATTGTGCTTCCCTCAATGATATTCTACCAGTCTCTATACCCTACCAATAAATGGTGCGTACCATCAGTCCCGCCGAGCAAGCGAGTTCGGCCACTTGCTTAGCGGTATCTATAATGCTTCCCCCATCTATCAGAGGTCTTAGAGACTATTGTTGGGTGGGAAACGTCCTGGAATTTGGTTCAATGATCCCCTTTGGGGATATGAGGTTCTTTGACGTACCGTAAAGCTACGACACGGGACCCACGGCTTAAAGTCCCTCCCGGAGGACTTGTTCCCTGAATTTTTCCGCCCTTAAAAATTCCACGACCTCCGCCGGGTGTTTGAACCCGCGTACTACGAGTCATGAGGTGGGAACGTTACCTCTAGACTACGGAGGCCGCTTTCTGTAACAGTAGCAATACATTTTCCGGTTTATTCGAAACCGTTTCGTAATAAATTGTATATCACAATTTAAATATTGTCACAAACTAAGGGTTGCTATAGACGGGGTTTGGTGTGTGGATTTACTGGATTCTTACAAACCGTAACTACAGTTATTTATAATCTTTTCACTGATTATCGCGATTTATAAGTCACTAGAGGACACTCTAGTTCTTCTCAGTCTACGTTCACTAGCCGTTTCCTGGTAACGGATCTTAACAATGAAGATTCTTCAGCTTCTGTGGTCACGCCGTTGCCCGCTGGCAAACACTCCACATCTGACCTGCCTCCTTAGCCTCCTTTGCAGGACTCCAACTATGCCGTCAACACAACTAATCAAGTGGCCCTCGTTATAACACCTCGGCACAGACTGCATAGAAAACACTTCTTCCTATAATTCTTCTGTTGTTACTTGCGCAGCCATCGGCTCGGATTGCGCAGTAAACACCTCATTGTTGCTATTTACAGACCGTTGCCTAGCAACGAACATATTTGCATCAATTACTGTCTCCGCTAGCTTCGAAACTTTGGCTTTCAGCACATGTTACAATATTAAACATTTTATTTGTTCTAAGATTTGAGGTTTTCACGGCTGTGACTATGAAGAATGCCATCTTCTGGGGTGTAGCGCCGTGCAGATATCATGTAAACCGACTTTTCGGAGGAATGTATCGCTTCCATCCTCAGGGTAGAAGGAAAAAGGAAAAAATCTAAGTCACTTAGTCTGCGGCCACCTACTCACGCTGCTTCCTCGCTCGTGGATTTTTCCTTTTTCTTCTACCCTGAAGATGGAGGCGATACATTCCTCCGAAACGTCGGTTTACACAATATATACACGGGCCCACATCTCAGAAGACGGCATTCTTCATTTTATTTGTTGTATTATTTGCATCTAATTGCAAATATGAATTTAAATTTAATTTATCATTAAAAGTTCCTGTTTTTTAAAGATAATATGTGTGTATTGTAGAACATCATGGTGGTGTGCGCCTGAAAGTTGTTTTGTTTGTACCAGTATTCACATCCGAATTTGATGAATGTTTTATTAATTGGAATTCATTTTGATTCTTACAGGAATCGGCAAGCGATATTCCTGCCAATGACAGATTTGGTTACCTTACTCTAAAATCAGTGGTAAGTTGCAAATTGGAGCCATTAATTTAATTTCATAACTTATAGTTAATTTATATAGCTTTAAGCATTTTAAGATAACACGCAAAAGTGTGTTTATAAGGTGATATATATTTATAGTGTAATTCACATTGGATATACGGTATTTTAAAATAAACTTTAAATTCTCATATCATTTTGCAAAATGGCCGTCGTGTTTGCTTTACATCGGTGCGACTGCGCAAATAAAGCGAGAGGACTTTTATTATATCCTTTCGTATCGTATATTTTTGGAGCAACCGTTATTCTCAGTCGTAATGACATCTTAATCGTCAGAGCCGTTTTCGCCAAAGTAGCCATTTTGTTTTTGAGGGCCCCACCTGAAGGGCCCCAATTTATGGATCTGCATTCACATTCACTGGACTCCGTCATAGGATGCATAGATTATAGAATACCTAGTGTGAATGAAGAAGTCTTAACGGTTAGGCTCCAGCGGTTGGCACATCCCTGCGTCCACACATACATACAAACAGATACATGATATTCCAAAACCACTTAATCTTGTTCAGGAGTGCTAAAAACGTGAAAATTAATCAAACTCTCCAGATTGTGTTTTTCACATTCACAATACTTTCCCACATAGCATTATACTACGCATGTGATGAGTTAAATGCAGCGCGGCCTCACTTACGCTAATTTGAAATAGTGCGATATAAAAAATATTAATAAAGTCTGAAATAGTGCGATATAAAAGAATATTAATAAAGTCTCATTTTATGCGCAAAGTTTAAAATAATCAGAATCCCCCCCCCCCAAAATCGGCAAAAATCACATATGTGTTTCAAAATTGTTTTTTGAATTGTGCAAGTGTTGAAATCAGCAAGGTCAGCAGGAACGCATCTCCACTCATATAAAACGTGACCGCAGTGTATAATGTTTTGTGGAACTGAACCTCTTTCGAAGCGAAGCTTTGTGTGAAAACAATCTTGTCTCCTTCCGGTGGATGTTAGTTACGTCATTAGCCCTTGTACTGTAATTACAGCACAAAGCTTCAGACAGCCCTGCCATAGAATTTTACACATATATTGGGTTTGCGGACTTTATCCATCGTCCTGATTTTTAAGATAACTAAGAAAAACACGACGTTTCGGAAACAGATCCAGATCTGTGTGTTATACACCATCGTCAGAATCCTATAGTAACTAATCGTAGAATTTTAGTTTCTTTTTCCACGTAAAATTTTAGTTTCTTGACTCGTGGCCCAGTTGTTCTAGTTGTGTGACATATTTAAAAGGTTCCACTACGTTAAACTATTAGGTGAGGGCACACCAAGGGAACTGGCAACCGCAACGCAACCGCAATTTCCGAGAATTATTAAGGCGCGTCCACAATACTCGTACTCGTGCGACTCGCTATGCTCGCGAGCAATGTGGACGATATGACAAGTCACGAGACAAGCAAATTTAAAATTTTTAATTTAAAAACTATAGCCAATAAATTAAAATACGACTACAGCCTATACACACTACGAGTAAATATACGATCCTCACGCGCCGAAGCCTGGCGAGCAACTGAAGTAGTGTGGACGAAGATTTACGAGCACAAGTAAAAGCCAGACGAGTCTCCCGACGAGCACTAGCACAAGTAATGTGGACGCGCTTTTATCAGCCTGAGCTGAAAACATGTTACTGAATGGAGCACCGACAATTGAGGAAACTGCGTTGTATGTGTTTAACACAAGGCTGATAACAGTTCTCTGAAATTGCGGTTGCGTTGCGGTTGCTAGTTTCCTTGATGTCCCCTTGCCCCCACAGTATCCTAAAACTAGTTTCTGTTCTCTCCTCTGCGAAATCTATGCTATATTTGGTTGTGTCAATAAGAGAGACAGCCGGACAGTGGCCGCGCGGTCTGAGACATGAACTGTCTTCGCCCCCTCGAACACTGGATTCATCGGTTCGAATCCAACTCAAGCCATGGATATCTGTGTGTGCGTTTATTCTGTGTTTGTGTTATCCTGTGTGTAGGTAGCGGCCTTACGACGGGCTGATCACTCCTCCAAGGAGTCCTACCGTGTGTGTTAAAAAGATTACGGAACTGCCAGGTCCCAACAGAGGGTTGTAGAGCCATTGATGAATGAATGAAAAGAGAGAGAAAAAACTCCGCGGTCTGTAGTCCGCAAAAGAACTATGCCGACCGAGCGACCGCCGCTTGTCGGCGAAGTTAGTGCCAACTTTTGCGGATAGAGTGTGTCGCGTGGTCAGCGTAACGGATCCCCACGGCCGTTAATCTCGGCTTTCTAGACCGGAGCCGCTACTTTTCCATTCATGTAGGTTCTCAGTTATCCTCACGAGGCTGAGTGGACCCCATTCCAGACCCACTATTTCTCAGAAAATCTGGTAGCGCCGGGAATCCAACCCGGGACCTCTGGATTTGTAGCCAGGAACTCTGACCACTAGACCACAGAGGCGGTCAAGTAAGAGAGATACGTGTGGAGAACGGGTCCTGTTTTGTCGGCGGTCTATGTATTTGTGATTTTATTCGTAATTCACACATGGTGCTAGAGTGGGGAGAGAATCCCTTTACCATACAAGCAGAGTCACTGAACAGCAACACATTTCACTTATAAGCTGCAAGATTAACAATACAATGGTCTCCAAATCCCAAGCGAAAGACTACACAACAGGTGTTTGTCTTATTATTGTCGTTATTTCTATTGAAAAGTTATTTGATATTAAATTCAGCACATGCTATAAGAATACATACATACTTCTGGAGCAGCCGCCAATTCTGCAGCTACTCAAGAATTTCCCAGCATTTTATGGAACCCGAAGGTTCATTACCGTGTTCACAAGAGCCCTCGACTGGTCCCTATCCTGGGCCAGATCAATGCAATCCAAACAATTCCATTCCATGTTAGTTGGGTCCCTGTCACCACGGCATGGCGTCCTCAGGTTGCGGATGGAGGAGACGCCCTCCAGTTTTGGAGGGAAGCTGCGAATATATTGAATAAGCAGTCGCGGACAGTCGACAATGGGTGGTCCTCCAGCTTGTGGGTTGGGCGTGGGGCTAACAACTCTTCACCGAAGAAAATAAACTTGTTACGAAAATAAACGGCATAAGCTAAAGAAATAAGAATACATAGATTGAGGAAATTTGGGGACAATGTGTCGGGAAGAATATTTGGGTCTGAAAAAATTAAGTGTCGAAAATGAGAAGGAAAGTATATCTTAATAATCTGTAACGCCTACCTGATATTTTCAGGACAATTAAGTACTTCAAGATGAGTTAAGTTCCGCATGTGCAAGTGTGAAGTGCGTGGAGGTCACGTGGGGCAACTTGCCAATCTGTATGGACAAATAATATTAAAAACGCATCTTGGAGAAATTGAATTGAGAATGGACTGAACTGACTCGTTATACGTTCCAGTAACAAGCTACTAACTTCCATCCTCATAACCTATTTTCGCAATATCCAGCCTCATGTTACCTTGTGTTCTTGATATAGCAAGTGGTTGCTTTACAAGAGATTTTCCAGCTAGAAATCTTCATGCTTTTCTTGTGTATCAATCCCAGTTACATGGTCCAGTCCATAGGAACTCCTCGAGTTCTCTGATGTTTCAGTTTCAGTAGAGTACATCACGAAGTTACTTTTTGTGGATTATTCTGCATAATCCCTCTAACAGGCCATGAAGGCCCATAAAGTTGTGAGACGTCGAGGTTCCCACGTTCCCTAGACAATCGGCTCACAGATGGCGGTAAAGTTGTCAGCCTTACGCGCCGGCTGCCCTTTACCCCACCAGTAAGCTTCCTGGTACTCATTTCTGTTGTAGGCTGAGTCGACCCCAGGGCCATAGTGGCCCTGGAGGGATTAAGCCAATTGAAAAATCCAGTGACATCATCAGGATCGAACCCGTGATCATCCGGCTTGTAGCATAGTGCCTCAACCAACTATGCTATCGCGTGCCCCTTCTTATTCTCTGTACCTCACTTCTGTCCTTATAGAATCAAAATTTTCACAATAACTCTTTTCTTTCTTTCTTTCTTTCTTTCTTTCTTTCTTTGCGGATACGGTAACCTCTACTTTTAAACACCCAGTTCTGAATCTTGGAGAGTGAAGGGGCAGGAGGGAGTTCTCGTACCGCTTGAATGGGATAAGGGAAAGACGAAAACAACCAAAGTTGTATCGGTTCGCAAGTTTTGATATTGTATTCGGTTTAAGTTCTATTATTTATTTCCAAGTCATTGATTTCTGCATTGTAGAGAGGAAAGTTGATGGGTGTTACAGTTTCGGAAAATATCGTGCCAGAAGTGGCGTCAAGTCTGTCGCGTCTTATCTGTTCTATTGTTCGGTAGTTATGTATCACACACTGCTGCCCGGGACGTGAATATAAATGAAGTCGCGGAGTCAGAATCCTCCAACTCCCTATACTGCAATAACCATACTCCCAGCTATCCCACCGACAGACACGACACAGATGCAGCTGCAACGGGAAATATCTTATTAGGAAGTTTTTACAATAGTTTAGTTTCTTGGGGTGGGGTGGGACTGAGTCGACTTGGTACGTCGGCCACTAACTGGCCTATTGTACCATCCCCGGATGGCAGATGATGAGTGTGGAGCAGTCGGTGGAATGAGAATTTGGCAGGGGAGGCCGAATTACTAGGAGAAAACCTACCCCAGTGCCACTTTGTCCAGCACAAACCCCGTATGACCTGACCTGTGCTCGAACCTGGACCGTCGCGGTGGAAAGCCGGCGGTTAACCGCCTGAACGATGGTACGGTCGGTCGCTGCAATAAGACAAACGCCTCTTCAGTTTGTTTGGATACCGTTTAAATTGGTAAATATACGTATTTAGGTTTCTTGAAAACGTGTGGAGGAGCCGTCAATTCTACAGCTACTCAAGAACTTCCCAGAATTTTATGGAACCCGAAGGTTCATTACCGTGTTCACAAGAGCCCTCTAGCGGTCCCTATCCTGAGCCAGATCAATCCAATCCATACCATCCCATCCTAGCTATCTAAGATCCATGTTGATATTGTCCACCCTCCTATCTCTTGGTCTTCCTAGTGGTCTCTTTCGTTATGGCTTTCCCACCAATATCCTATACGCATTACTCTTCTCCCAGTTTTTTTTTAATTCGCATAGTGGGGGTTGGAGTCCAGGTGGATCCACTCGACACCTCGGCCACTGATTGGGCTATTGTACCTGTCCCGGGTGATTATGATGATGAAGAATTTGGTGGAATGAAGATTGGCAGGAGAAACCGATGTACTTGGGGAAAACCTGCTCCAGCGCCACTTTGTCCACCACAAATCCCACTTGACCAGACTCGGGATCGAACCCGGGCCGCCGCCGTGGGAAGCCAGCGACTAACCGCTTGAACTATGGCGCGCCCTCTTTCCCCATTAGTACTACATGTCCTGCCCATCTCATCCTCCTTGATTTGATCTTTCTACTTATACTCGAAGTACAGTGATAGTTAAGAAGTCCTGCTCCTGCAGTTTTTCTCGAACCTTCTCCTTTCTGTCCAGATACTCTCCTCAACACCCTATATTCGAAATGGCCCCATTGCATGGGGTGGGGTAAGACTGAGCCCACTTCGTACACAGGCCTCTAATTGGCCCATTATACCAGCCCAGAATGATAAATTTAGTATGGAACAGTCGGGATTAGAATTGGTAGGTGAAACCTAAGTACTCTGAGGAAACCCACCTCAGTGCCACTTTGTCCATCAAAAATCCCAAATGACTTATAATAGGATCGAACTCGAACCTCTGCGATGGGAGCCACATCTTTTATCGGAGTATAAATGCATGTAAAGTTCTTGTCTAAATCAGGAAGTTGTAACGGCGACTGTAAGTTATAGTTTTGTGTTGGTAGTGCCCGCCCCGAGGCAACTCTAAAATTCTTGTGGTCAGTAAAGAAACATCAAGAATAGCTAACATGAACGATTGAAATCCGAAGTCATCTTTCCTTTGCATTGAATTACAGGAATATTCCCATCACCAACAAAGCATCACTCCTATCCTATTGAGAGTCAGATCAACTCAGTTCACACCACTGCACCCCAGTACTCTGGGAACAATATAAGCACACCCTAATATCTTCTGAGTCCATGCTTTGAATTGCAGAACAGAACTCTCTATTGGGAGTCATATTTTATATCATCAACTGCCATACTTTGACTTGTTTTGCATTATATTTTCGATAGCGATAAATAATCATATTGCACATTTGTGCTTCACAAACTGTTATAGGTGTCTCTATTATGTGATGACAAAATATCACTGGTCTCCTTGACCATGTGGCATTTAATCAGCATTTTTGTATGGCATGTCTAGAAAGTTCCCACTTAATTAATTATATGTACTCACTATGCAAAGAAGTCGGAGTTCGAGTCCCGGTAAGGTCAAGAATTTTCTCTTCTCCTAGTCGTCCAGATCCACCGAACCTCTTATCCAATAGATACCGTGGGCTCTTTCTCGGAGGTAAAGCGGCCGGGGCGTGAAGCTGACTACTGACCTCCAACTAGTACTGAGGTCAAGAAAATGTGGATCTATACATCCACCCCCCATACGCCTTCATGTTGTAGTATTTAACTAGTTAAGCACATGGTCAACTTTACCTTACTCACCATAGATATTTATGCGATGAAAGCGTATAGTACATTACACATGTAACCCACTCTCAGTGAGTGAGGTTAGGTCTTTCTAAGGTACCCGACAGAGTAGGTGTTCCCCCTCACCTGACGATGGAAACACATCTAGTTTCCGAAACATTGTTTTTTTCTGGTATCTAGAATACCGGACGATGGACGAAGTCCAAAAACCCAGTGATTCTAGAAACATTTATACATTTGTAAGAAAATGCTTATTGCGTTAAAGATATATGCGTAGGCCTTACATTAAATATTTCTCATTAAACGACGTAGAGAGAAAATGTTTGTTTAGGCTTGCATGTAAAGTGGCTGTTCTAGTCGAACGATATATCTCGAATGTACACGCATGTGTAAACGCTTCCCACACCAACTTTAAGCAAAACTCGACAAAGTATTCTGGAGTTAAGAAGACGAGACAAAGCGAAGGACCTGGTGCGCAAACATCGTCTAAAAGAGACGTGACTGTGGAGCAAGGTATGCATGATCCCCATTTGATTGCTGAAAGAACTTCAGTGATTAAGATAACCTAATCCATATCGTGACCTTCATTTCCCGTTGGACTATTTAAAACAAAGCGTCTTGCCTATATACCATCGGTTGTAACGTTAAAAGATAAGTGTAAATTTTGCCGACAAGTAGTATTTGTATGTTTGTTACAATTGTCAGAAATAAGCAGCAATTATTTTCCCGAACAGTATTAACCAGTTGGTTTCTACAATGAAGATTCGTTCTTGCTATGACGTAGGAACTGAATTTCTAAATATTCATTCATCAATGACACTACAGCCCTTTGTTATGAACTGGCATCTTCAGTTTTGTTATATTTTTTACAGAGGCGGTAGGTAGGACTTCTTGGACGGGGGATCAGCCCGTCGCAAGGCCGTTACCTGCACATAGGTCAACACAAATAGAGAATAAACGCACACAGACATCCATGTCTTAAGTGGGATTCGAACCCGCGATCCCAGTGTTCGACCTAGCGAAGACAGTTCATGCCTTAGACCGAGCGGCCACTGTGATCGGCATTCTTAAACGTTACCAAGACAAAATTCTTGCTTCAAAGGTTAATTCTACAAATGACACAGCATTTTGCAAGTTGCATTGACAATTTCTGTATATTCCATATTTTTTTAATAAGCCTACTGCTGTAATACCGAATGATAAGATAAATACAGTTTAACAAGACTTGCAATTCTGCCAAACTGTGTGGGTATGCTTCTGTGCTATTTTATTTACGAGTCCTTCATCAAACTGCATTTATAGATGATTGTCATTCCTTCAGCACACATAAATGGAAGTTGAAGACACGGGAAGCCTTACACTAACTAAACTGTATACATTATCACATAGCTATGCTTGTTGGACACGAAGATCTCACCGAATTCCTTGTAATCCTGTTGATTATACAATTTATCTTAGAATTTAAGTAATCAATAAGGAAACTGCATGACATGAATCAAAATTTTCTTCATTCGTGTTTCTTAGGGCGAGGGCTCACCAAGGAAACTGGCAACCGCAACGCAACCGCAATTTTCGAGAATCGTTTTGAACCTAAGTTGAACACATGTTACTGAATGGAGCTTCGGAAAGCAGTTTCCTCAATTTTCTCTGCTCC